TGACCACTGCAGACTGGAAACACCCCACAAGAGCTGCAGGTTTGGAGATGCTCTGACCCAGTGGTCTAGCCATCACAATGTGGACCTTGTCAAAGACGCTCAAATCCTCACGCTGCCCATTGTTCCTGCTTCTAACACATAAACTTTGAGGACAAAATGCTTATATATCTCACCCACTGACAGGAGCCATGATAACCAAATAATCAGTGTTATTCACTTCACTTCTGCTCACAATATTATGGCTTATCTGTGTTTATTTCTTGGCATAACTAAGCAAGTTATTCGTACATGAAAGCAAACATAAAATCTGCTCTATTTTTTCCCAATTGGTGTGGAATCTCCTGGGACAACAAGTTCAGACCATGTCTACAAGGCAGTAGCGGTCGCCAATGTGTTTGAAAAGCATGAGCCAAGTCCGCTCAACAACTGACACAAAAGCAACAAAAACTTAAATTTGACTCTGAGCACAATACAGAAACCATGAGTGTACACACAATCTAATAAAACAGTATTCTGGTGATATAACTTCATAGTATTGTACAAGGTATTTTACGCCAAGCTTTGTTTTAATAGAGAAAACAGTACTCTTTGTATGCACAATTAAACTAATAATGATTACTTTCATTAGGAATAATGTGTAATGTGTTGAATTTTTTTTCTGATTTCTATCTCTCGCTCTCTCTCTCATGGTGGGAACTGTTAGGTCTCTGTGAATACTTTTATAAGGAGTACGGTCTAGACCTGCTCTATTTGTCCTGAGAGACAATAGGGCAATGTGTGACCATACAGACAAATCAACCACTAATCAAACACATTGTGAGACATTCACACAAAGATGACGGAAACTTTGCAGACAACATCAAAGCATGACATTTCATGACAAATTATGAGAGTGATCACAAGCTTGCAGAAAACCCAGAGGTGATTTTTACTGATATAAAAGCTGTGGGCTTTACTAACCACTCTTTGTAAATATCAGAGCTTTTTTGATATCTAAAAAAACCTGTTCTCCAACTAAAGACTGCGTCTAGACTTGTATCTCTTGTATTATATAAATTAAAATTTAAATAGTTCAGTCAATATAGATTCTACAGTATGACGAAAGGCTTGGGCAAATTTAGATGGGTGGCAAAGGGGTCAGATGCATATTCTCATTTTATACATCTTGACTTAAAAAATATTTAGATGAACATTACGTGTTCATTTGGCACTTTTTGGCACACAGATCATCCAATTATCATTCATAATTTCATGATCTATTATGGTTGCATTTTAGATTTAAAAACTAGTTGAGCTCAAGTATCTTCATTTGGGGGCTTTTCCAAGCAAATATTGATATATGTGATTGATTAAGATTAAATCAGAAAATATTTCTGCCCCCCCTTAAAGGCTCCATGCCACCCTCTGGACACCCTTTAAATATTTCTACAGATCTGGCCCTGATGAAAGTAAAGAGAGAAGTTTATGCCCTTGACAAGACACCTAACTCTCTTTGCTTGGCAACTACACCTAGAGCAACAGCGCCACCCCAAGGCAGAATAAAAACAGTTTTAACAAATGAGAAATTAACTAGATCACTTGGAATAACTCCTGTGTAGATAAGACTAGGGGGAAGGAGACAGAGGAAATGAAGAAGAGAGTCTTCAGGTTGAAAGAGTGAGACTAAAACTACAAATTCCGTTTGTGAGGAACAGCAGTTCGCACATTTGAATACGTTGCTTAATATGCATTTAAAAATAAAATCAAACTGTGAAAAGGAGGATTGCATATATGTGTCTTAAACTGCTCACATAATAATAAAGTACGGAAATGCACTGCTGTCAACATGCACCACAATATTTCATGTAGAAATACACAATAATTCAACAACTTCTTAGCCTCTTTACAGATTCTGAAGTCATACAAACATAAGTATTACATTTTTTCATGCATGGTAAGTGAGGAAGTACAAAGATACACATATAAAATGTGTGAGAACACCACCACTCCCACAAACAAGTAAGCAGTTCTGAAGAGCGGTTCCATATCACATTTAATAAGAAGCAGGAAGGTACAGACAAGCTTCGTATAGAGGCAGCTGTTATATACAGCTTTTAATAAACTCATCAGAGCTCCTGTCAGAGGTATGTATGGCATGAACATGAATTGATCTGTGTGTACAGCAAATTTGGATGCATTTTCCATCTTAAATTTCATGACTTGTATCAGTGAAATAATGGTGTTGCATCTTGACCTAACAATTGATTTAGATGAATATAAGATGTTTAAGCATTGTTGTTAAAATATCATAAAATCACATACATTTGGCACTTTTTTCTTCTCATACATTTTTAATCTAAGGAAATTGTTCTAATGTTGAAAACATATAATTGACAATGGCAGTTCCATCTAACTTCAGTAAAGGCACTACATGGTCAAAAGTATGTGGACATTAACCCATATATGTCAAAAAATCACATGAATAATGACATGTGTGCTCAGACATGAACAGCCAATCAGATTTACCCCACATCTATTTATAGTATAAAAAGATATAGATTGGGATGAAGTAAAAAGATCTTGGATGAAGTGGGAACATCAAGAAAATCAAACTAGTGCAGAGAGGCAATTCTGTATGTATATATGGAGCAATTTGTGGTTATTGTGCTTTTCATAATATCGAAATAAAAATAAAATAAAGATATTACAGAAATTTGAAAAAAAACAAAAACAAAACAAACTAATGACAGGAAGTCGCCTGAATGCTGTAGCACAGTTGCTTAATCTTAAAGATTCCCGCCCTAGCAGCTCTGCCTTCTTTAAAACAACTGGTATTATTCTGAAAGCGAAACAGAAAATTCTTTCAACAGGAAAAATATGAAATGGGAGCAATTGCATACTGAGGACTTGCTGTTGTTTTTTTGTATTTCTGCCATAGTAATAGTATCTGTATTCTTCATAAGTTCAAATTCTCCTTTGTTCGTTTAAAAGAGCACCAGCCTGATCAATTACATGAACACAGTTAGTTAATGTATCCTACTTGTAGCAAACGTTTTGGGCACATCTCTGCCAGGGAACCAATTGGATTATGTGATTAGAGGAAATGATGTGAAGTGGCAGAACACACACTGAGTAGCAGTGAATCAAGTGAAATGTCTGAGTCAAGGTAATAACCAAAATGTTAGAAATCAATAACATAAGTTTGTTTACACTGGAAGAGTAAAATAAGTAACTCAAAGATATCAGTATCAATGTGAAATAGATTTCAGAATATGCTGCTGAGGACATAAAGGAAATGATCCTTCTAGTGTCAAACTCTACACAGACAGCATTCAAACAGCACACTGTAGGAACAAGAACAAACACTGATTTCTGACTGGAGGGGACTAAAATTACTGAATGAGTGTTTTTGAGTTGTTCTGTGGGAACTTACATGCATGCTTTCACACTGCAGGCCCAAGTGCCCAAATCTTTTTTTTGATCATATGTGACTAAGATCTGTTTTTTTGTCATGACATTGTGAACATCACGTCTGATCTTTTCTATTCTGTTTTGGGCCACTTTCATTTGTGGTCAGACACATCAAGATACAATCAATTGCAATGCCACCTCAGTGTGAACAGAAACAGCAGATGTGATATTTACATCACTCTAGATTGGCATTTGTCACATATCTCACTCCATGACTGTGATCTGTTCACAATGCAATCAGACATGGGCCATGTTCAAAAAATAATGTATGTTTTGTGTAACAACTAAACAAAAAAAACATCTGATCTAAGCAATAAATCAGAATTGAGCGCTAAGGATTGCAGTGAATGTGTTTCTCTGTCTTCTCTTACTTGTACATCACTTTTGTGTTCTTACAGATCAAATGGACAATACTGCGCACACTTTTCCACCGGATAACACTTCCTTCTCCTCCTCTGTTCTCCCCCTCTGCCCCACTGCTGCAACACTCTTCTTCCTCCCCTCTGTCTACATACTCCAGTTCCTCACAGCTCTCCCAGGCAACATGCTGTCTTTGTGGGTGTTCCTCCGGTGCATCTCCACCACCTCCTCCACTCACATTTATCTGTCCCACCTAAGTATCTCCAATCTGATGCTGTGCCTTACTACCCCCTTCCTCGCAGCCTACTTTGCCTCGGGCTCAGTCTGGACACTGAGTGGCATCCTGTGCCAACTGGTCCTGCACGGTATCACTCCAGTGCTCCACATTAACATCTACATAAGCCTCATGATGCTCACTTGCGTGGCCCTCAGCCGCTTTGCAGCCCTCATCCAAAACACCCATGCCTCCAGGCCGAGCGCCTTCAAAAATCTACTGCCACAGAGCTTCTTCACCTCTCTCAGAAGGCCTTCCTTTGCCAGCAGGGTGTGTGCCACAGTGTGGGTGCTGGCAGTAGGTGGTATCGTGCCAGTGACAGTTTACTACTCAGTGAACGAAGCTTTGAGCGCCAACACTCCAGCAGCCGGCGGGGGCCGAGAGGGTGAGAAAGGAGGACGTGTAGAGGTGTGCTACAACCCTATGGTGGAAATAGGGGGCAAGCTGTCTGCAGCTTTTATTGTGCCTGTTATAACGCTGTTCTTTGTGTTGTACCTGCTGCTGCTGCTTTCCTACATGACAGTGTTGAGACATATAAGACGCTCAGGTCGCAGCACAAACGTCACCACCTCCCAGAGCTTGCTGGGTAGGACATTCCGAAAAATCGTAGTCATCCAGGTGGATATAAGTTATAAAATACTCTAAATTAAACCTTTAAAGATGCATTTTTTTTAATCTGTAATGGGCATGGGGTGATATGAAAGTCTTTTTTTAACCTTCTCCTTACAGGTTGTTCTTTCAGTTTGTTTGCTGCCATACCACATCTTCAAACCCATTTTCATTTCTCTGGCACATGATGAACGTCAGCTGACA